TATCTATCTATCTATCTATTCTGAGAGATAGCATCCTCTCCTGTGAAATCCGATTAACCTAAGTGATTTACAGAGTGCTTGCTGGTAACATGCACCTCACCAAGCATCTAATTGCTTTTTTCAATGCTCTGTTCATTGGTTGTTTGGCGTTAGTGCATCACAGAGAAAGGACCGTCGTGAGTATTCGTCTCATTATTTCTCTCCCCCACCCCCATCCTCACCCATGTGACAGCTGACTGTGAGTTTGGTAATATTCATGGCTTCTCAATCCAGTGGAGAGTGTCCAAATATCTCACACGAGAGACAGATTGTTTGGCTAATTAATAATTCCCCAAAGATACACATGTTTTATATGCATTTGTGACCCAATTGGAACTGAAATGAGGTTTTTTCTTTCGTTCTTTATTAAACATCTCCTCCATTGGTTAGATTTGGTGAGGGTGGGGTCTCACTTAAGAGCCATTGACGTAGTCCTCTTTGGCAACGGGTTTTAACAGAGGCGCAGTCTGTGTAGGGACGGAGAAAAGTGTTTTGAGACAACGATAAAAAGGGGAAACAGAAGAATGAAGTGGTGAGGAGGTTTGAAGTGTTCTGATTTGGTACACGATGTTGCTGTCGTGCTGTCCTGCGCGCCTCGAACCTGTGTGGAGCCCCTGGAGTGGGCACAACCGGTGTCCTCTCGTATTCACAGCAGCAAACAGTTGGTTTTGAGCATCAGGTGAGCGTTTCTGACAACATTCCCACTTTTTCCTCGTCTTTCTTTGGGCGACACTTTTAGCAGAGGAGCAGAGAGAGTGGACGCGCCTAAATAAGTATGACCAAAGGATCCGCGCCCTGACGCGCTCCGGTGAGCGCATGCTGGACCGGTGAGAGTGTGGACTAGTATGAAGCGCCATGGCTTGGTGTGACCGCGGGGTTCAAACGCTGCTGGCCACCGTGGGGGCTTTCGCTGCCTTCAGCCTGATGACCATCGCCATCGGCACGGACTACTGGCTCTATTCGAGGGCGTACATCTGCAACAGCACCAATGCCACCACAGACGAGACCCAATCGCAGCCCAGAACCAAGAGGGGCGACCTCACCCACTCCGGGCTCTGGAGAATCTGCTGTATTGAAGGTAAGCCCGCTCCGACGCATGGAGCCCCTTAACATCTACAGTCCCTGTTCTTTTCGTACAGCAAATAGTTAGATTTCTCTCTTTTTCGAGGAGGAATCTTTTGTCTCTCAGTGCGCACAGGCGCTAGAGCGCACAAAAAGATGCGCTCCCTTTTACGCACGCCAAATGTCTCGATCGGGTTTTGGGGAGACAACAAGGACATTATGATAAAGGTGGAACAACTTTCAGAGGTTGTAGTTCAGATGGAGAAAGCGTCGATACGCACTCAGGTAACGGATTTTAACTCCTCTGATGTTCTGAAGTTAACGGAAAACAACCCAGTGTCCCGGTGAGCGCTGAACTCAAACCTGTCTGCCAACTGTTACATGGCATTGTTCAGGCTCAGGCCCACACAATAAAGACGGCTGCGTTATAGTCTGCGAGACAATCCGATGCCAAGCCGGCGCGTCGGAGCTCATTCACTTTTAGCCGGTCGGTGCCAGGAAATGTGCGCGTTATGAGTCTACTTTCATTCATGTCTTCTTTGTATCCGATGCTGTTGCTTGGCAACATCCCTGAAAATCGCTATGGAAACATGCACGGTGATTTAAAAATAGATGACTCTGAGTTCACGTCATGTCCAAGCAAAATAGGAGGAAAAACATTTTTTTGTTTGTTATAGAACTAGAGGTAAACACCCCCCAGTTCATCTTTTCATCCTTTCGGAAAGTGTTTTTGAATAATTGTACGGATTTGGTGTTTAAAAATGAGGTGCGCTGGCAGTGACGTCTTCATTCAGAGGTAGACCGACGCTCATTCATGGACCAATCTTCCTTCCGGTCACCGCTTGACTTCTCGACTCAGCCATCAATGGGCGAGCCGAGGTGACTGGATGGATCTGTTCATGTTAAAAACTGCTGTCATGACGCACAGTTTTATAGAAACAGTTGTACGAATAAATGTCCTGGATAAGAAAGGCATTAAACACACTTATTTTACTTCAGAATCTGTTTTGAAAACGGACTATATGTGTCAAATATTGCTTTACCAAGATACAGAATGTGCATGTGAATCTTTAGCGACATTTTTTTTAACTCTACCTCAAAACATTATTAAAAACAGGAAACTGCAGAGTTAAGAAGGACTTTTGGCTACAGACAGGCGGTTCAGCCTCATTGTCAGTTCTGGAGCATTATTGCAGATACAAAAATATAACGTGAGAAGGAAACAAGATAAGAAACTTTTGTCACCGCTAAGACTAGAAAATTAATTCTAAAATGTGTGTTTTCTTCTTCTCTCAGTGTATTTGTGTAGATACATTAAGATTTTTATTGATACCAAGACATTTTTTCATTTATCAAAAGTCATCTACATTTTGTTTAGTTTCTTCTCCCCCAAAAGCAGCTGAATATTTTACTCTTTGTCTCCCCCCCCCCAAAAGAAAAAAGAACAAACAATTTACCTTACAGCTAGATACTTTATTGCCATCTTATAATCTGTTTAAGTGTTGGATCAGGTGCTTTTAAGTATTTGCAGTTTATTCATTCATTTTGGAAGACTTAACGTCCTCAGAGGCCACATATAGGGAGAAATCCAGCTGCCATCAATGATTAAACCGTCTCTGGGATTGTCCTGTTGAACACGTGAAGAACATCCTGCCGTGTTATGACACTTGCAATTTACTGAGAGTCATGCTTGGCTGTGCACCTGTCTGTGATGTGGACAGACGCGCAAGTCTGCATTACATCCTCTGAAGACCCTAAGAAATGAAAATAAATGACAAATGCCTGCCGACTATTATGTCAAGCATGATTTCCCATCAGTGCTTTGAAGTAAACAATGAAAGTGGATTAATGACAGCGGAGACTGAATTGATGTTGATGAGGTTGGGGACAAAGACCGGCTCTGTGCAAAGAGACTTTTTGTTTAAAAGCACAATTTGCACAAACAAAAAAAAAGGCCGAGCCTATTATATCTCTCTCTCTCTCTCTCTCTCTCTCTCTCCTGAGCTAATAGTTTCACTTCTGAGCCTCGGCTTAAAACTACAGGATGCTTGGACTGTGGCTCTGTTGTCATGGAGACTCATAAGTACAGAGGAGAAGACAATGAAGGAAGACTCAACCCCTGCCCCTTCACACACACACACAGCAGCATGTTCTCTTCTCAGACCCCCTTTAATGAATGTGTTTTAGTGGCCCTGCCCAACCAACGTTACCTACCTGACATTTAAGAAGCAGCCAGGAATATATGAGGCTCTGGCAGGGTCAGCCACTACCCTCATTTACGAGTCCTTTGCATTTCTCGACAGTTGTTTATGAATTTTTTTCCCTCTTTGTTTGTTTTCCCACATGAATGCCAGTGAGGCCAGAGTAGCACCGAGAGCGTCCCAATTTGCATCACAGGCCTGTTGCTTAAGTGTAACTGGAGTAAAATGAAGAATGACCTGATGACTAACAGTTTACTTACAGTAAACATCCCAGCTGGAGGTGGTGTGAGTGGCGAGGCAGCTGTTTTTTNNTTTTTTCTTAATGGAAGTGTGTGTTTTTTTGCGAGGAGGGGTTTGCTTAGGTGGGGTGGGGGGTCAATTTGCCATTCCCACCGTGCTCTGCAAGTCTGTAATTAAAACGCTGCAACTGAGAAGCAATGTGTGTACTAATTAGCCAGCAGGCCCCAACTTCCACCTCAGTCCCTCCATCCTCCTCTCCTCTGCTTGATGTGCACTCTCTCTTCTCATCTCTTTATTAGCTTCTCCATTCTCATCATTCTTTCATCTGGCTTGTGGCTTTGGCTTCTGCTATTCTACCTTTTTAATGAACCCTCTGTCACTCCACCTACATACCCACAAACCCTCAGCCCCCTTTTCATTTTGGATGCATTTTGTTTCTGTTCTCTTTTTAAATAAAGTTCCTTTGTGTCGTATTCAAGCTATGTGGATAGCTACTTGTAAATATGTAACCTTAAAGATCCACTGTGTAACATTTAGAGAATCTATTGGCAGGAATGGAAAATAATATTTATAGGTAGGTTTTCATTAGTTTATACTCACCTGGAAATAAGAATTTCAAGAAATTTCGTTATCTTAGAATGAGCCGTTTTTATCTACTATGTCTTTCATGGACACAATGGTGAATTGATGTTTTTACACTTCCGTTTTTGTAGAGATTACACAGACAAGACGTTCTGTGTTAAAGTGGGCTAAGTCTAATCCAATAGGTCAATTTTTTTTTCAAATTCAGTTAATGTCTCCTCGTGGTCTGTTAAAACCAATGTTTGTACACAGCCCTTTCGCTGTAAATGGGAAACACACTAAGTGGATTGATCACACAGCATCAACTAATGTCAAATTACTTGCCCACAGACATTCAGCTTACTTTCTAGATGGCCAAGCTTTGCTGTTTTTGTGATGTTAGCTATAGTAGCAGAAAGATGTGGGTATCACTGTCTGAAACTGGTGTGCTCTTCATGTTAGCTGCACAGCAGAACTTTGGAAACCCATAACATGGCTAACATTAGTTACATTACTTGCTGTGTCATTTTTCCCACTATATCGTATTAATCATGTTATCAGTATTTCTCAAATGGTGGTATGTGTACCCCTAGGGGTGCTTTGGAGTACTTCAGCGGGTACTTGACACGTTTCTTATTTCTAAAATAATCATACTAGTTCAATAAAAAATTTAAGTTTGATAAACCACATTTTATATTTAGTATTCCTATTTCAATGCAATCGTTAACTGCCATAGACTGACAAAGATCTTCAGTGAAACACAAGTCCATGTTTCTCTCTGAATTGTAAGTACAATGTCAGACAGATGCAGTTCCATTATATATGTACATTTTTATAAGTGACTATGCATGACAGCCTTCAGAACAGACTACATGCGGCAATTGATCTCACTTTTCTTCCAGCAATGTGGATACACATGCACCCCAAGCAGAGCTGTGTTTGAAGAAATTGCAGCCTGGTGACAATTTAATTAACCAACTGTCAGTCATATCAACACTGAATCACTGATGTCTTCGCCAAATTGCTTTTCTTTCATCCTCACTTGGACTGAAAAAAACGAAACAATTGGAGGGGTTTGTTTGATTACACTGATACTTTTATATTCTGCCCTGGCATTCCCTGATTTCCAAAGTAATAAATGTATGTGTCGCTAAGTCTGTGTGAGTTATGCGTGTGTCTGGCTTTGATATCAAACCCCAGTAACAGTGTAACTATCTGTTTACAGCTTTATAAAACTCAATCATCCAACCTGCTGTAAAACTTGAAGCGCTCTCTTGGTCTTGATCTGTTATGTGTAGCTTTACTATAAGAATTTCACCCACTGGGGGCTGCGCAGTTGTAGTGAAATGCAATAATAAAGTCACTTTTTAATTGGTTTATTTATCAATCTATTTGCAGTGCTATTAAAGTGTAAATATGAGGCAGTGGGAGCATGTGTTGCAAGACACACCGTGCTCCTGGAGACACCATAGTGAGGAAGTGCTGCACTAATGAGACAATAGCCATTGGTGTATTCCACTGAGGCCACTCCGTTATTGGCTGAGCAGCGTTAATTCAAAATAATGACAATGTGCATCATCCCGTTGCCAGTGGCACCACAGCTGTGACAGCAGCTTCCAATACAGTGTGTGTACGTTTGTATGCACACGTGTCTGAGCACTTACGTGTGTCCATTGGTGGCTCGCAGCCATGTAGCGTTAAGGTGGTGACAGATCTGTGAAGGGGAACAGGGAAGTGTCGTCTGTGATTTGGTGGGTGTCAAAATGCAATGAAGACGTCAAAAGCATCCTTGGAGATTGTTTATGTGAAAGAGCTTATTAAAGACTAACAGGGGTTGCCATGGAGAAGAGGAGGAGATGCTCAGCATGGGGCTTTGCAATTCCAGTCAGGCCCATTATTTCCTGTGTAATGTGTTTACTGTGTAACATTAATTCTCAATTTGTCACAACACAGTCACCTTGTAACATAAATAAATTTGGGGGATGTTAGAATTTTCTGTTTGTTATAAACACTTTACAGATACAGTATGTGTGTAAGGTGAGCAGCTGTGTGTCTGTGAGTCTCTACACGTCCATTCAGTTTCACAGCTTTTACATTGCACAACCGTCCCCCGACCTTTGTTGCACAATCCACATTTTGCCTTCTAACGCTCTCTCCGCCTTTCCTGATTTTTCTCTTGTTGATTCCCAGCTCTCCTCCTCTGTCTGAGTCTCTCTTTAATGTGGCCTCCTATTATTTCTCCCCCCCCCCTTCCTCTGCTCCCCGTGCTATTGTTGTTTCATTTCCTTGTAATCTTCTTCCCTTGTTTAATCTGTTCTTCCTCCCTCCCTCCCTCCCTCCCAGCTAGTCAGTATTCAGACTTTATTTTATTTCATAAAGGACTGCCTGCACGCACACACACACACACACACACACACACAACTAAACGTAGACATTGAGCTGATAACTGTCACTCATAAATCACAAGCCTTGAGGCCTCCCCTTATAATCAGATTCCCAATCAGTTGCAATATTGTCCTTTATTTCTTCCATTCTCCATCACACACACTCACACACACACAGGCGTCAGACTGGCTGGAGTAGCTGGGGTCTCGACTGGAGCGGAGGATTGAGAATATTGTGCACCAGTCAAAATGAATAGTAGCGTTCTGGGTTCACAGTGAAAGGTGTTTTTGTGTGCGCAGTTTTTTAAAAGGTGTAAAAGCAGTTTGACATTTCAGTTAAGTAGAAAAGACACGCACATACAAAAATGCATGCATAAAATCTGCAGTTTACACAGCAATTAACAGCACAGCTAAGGTGTCTGTATTTCCGTTATCTTCACAGTTCTTGATCTAACCATAAGAGCCAGATGTGTTTTTCATTTGGCTGCTTAAAATAGTCCATAGCCCTTTTTTCCATCAGTGACTAGACACAGAAACTTGTGCTCCATTTCCACCGACTGATTTGACGCTAATTAATTTGATGTCCCTTATTAAGCAGCAGACCTAGTTAATGGAACGAGCGTGCCCTTAAAAGCTGTGGCACAGACAATGATGGCTGCTGACCCTTCGGCACCTGGGAAATGGAGTTGACAGGTGTCTGTCTGTCTTTGGTATAGGCTGTTGATGGGAAGGTTGAAATTTATATGGTAGGTAATTTCTAATCTCTGCTGCCTGTTAAGCCATTTGAGATGAAACGGCAGCTTTGTATTTTTGATGTGGGATAAGTAAAAGTCTTTGTTGCTTACAGAGACCGGCAAAGATTAACTGAGGCTTAGCCATTTGACCATTCGCTTAAAATGTCCCCCCAAAACAGCGCCCGTCCAGTCTTAGCGACCATAATGAGGCCCAAGCAGGTCTGTCAAGCTTTGGATTTCTTCACATGTCAATGCAAAACAATGGGGCTCGGGTACTTGGATTGGGAGATACTTGGGATTTAAAGAGTTGGTGGGTGGAGGTTGGTGTCCTTCTTTATCCCTTCCAAAACCAAAAACACAAGGGTATGAAATGGATTATAAAATGTGATTATCTACTCCAATGTAAGCTGCATTTGTAATTATGTCCAGCTAACTAACACATTACCTTGGTAGCAACCAAGCATTACTTCCAGGATCAATGCTGTTCCTTCATTTACATGTCTGGCACGTGCAGCTTTAACCTCAGTCTTTTAAGATGTTATAATGTATGTAGCAGAGTTACACAGTTCTTATTTTAATACGAATCAGCTGGAAAAAAAAGGAAGTCAGCCCATAGGGAGAAACCATTTTATCAAAATTGAGGTCATCGGCTTCAAAAATGAGAAGCCTGCTTTTGTCCACCATTACATGAATCGAATGCTTGACAGGCATAAACCATCAACCATGGCTAATATTTGCCTCCCGTTCGCTTCCATTCTATGCGAGTGAAGTGGCGAATAAAACATCTGCTTCCAGTAGCAAAGCAGATCCACATCTCAGCTTTGTGTGGAGTTGAAAGCAAACAAGTGTGTGTGGTTGACCCCTAAAACAACATGCTGCTTAGCAGTGGCACTTCTGGGTAAAATGTCAAATACATGACATTGCTGGAATTTAAGATGTTGCGTAGAAAGATATTTCCACCCTTCCTTGATCACTTTACACACATCACAACAAACACTGTTGTCATCTTCGTGAGATGAAGCCACAGTTTGGACTGTTTCTTGCTATACGTCATGATATATTCCATTTTGTTGCAAGTTTCCAAAAGCATGGACGCATTTTGCTACGCAGAACTGTCAGAAAAACATGCCTTCATTAAAAAAAGGAACTGATAATCTTGGAGGTATATGTTTCCGATGGATCAGACCATAAGGAACTGGTTCTCAACTGGAACTATTTGTGACTGGCAGAGCTTAGCCAATGGTCCCTGTACTCTTGGGGATACAGACAAATGCAAAAATACACATGCACATGAACACAGTTACTAGTTACAGTTACAGTTACACAGGTACTACACACACAAATACAATATGCTCATGTAAAAATATGCAAATGCAGCCCAGCCCACCTATAATTCTGTGGGTGTTGTTTGCAGAATAACTAAAGTGAATGGTGAATGAGTAGCCAAATAGCTCCCAGCATTACCACCGATGCACTGAGCACATCCATTAACCCCACCCCAACCCCTTTTTTCTCTAGACAAGGTGTTGTTTATACTCCCGCTCAATTACAGCTACAGGCTTCTCTCAGCTTCAACCTCTCTCTGTCTCTCTCTCTCTCTCTCTCTCACCCTCCACTCTATTCTTCCGTTGTAACTCACCTCAGCATTAAAAGCTTCCAGCACATGCTCCTTTGTTGTTCAAATAGGCTTCTTGTTCCTCCTAGCACTCAACCATTCACCTGAGCTGGATTTGGACACGCGCCACAACCCCCCAAATCCCTCTGGGCAATGCAATCTTATTCCCACCACCGTATAGCGTATGCACTGATCCCTCGAAGCGCAAACTACCCCTCCCCACTCTGATTTCCTTCCTCCAATATGTGTGCACTGAGCTGTGATCTTTAGTTTGCAGGTTGAACGGTGGACCCAGGGAGCTATAAACAACAACAATCCTCGTCTGACACTTTTTTTTAAAATTTAGATCCAAGGTCAAAATCTCATTCATGGTTGGAGGTGAAACCCATGGAGAGGGTAATGAATAGAGAATATGTTGCTTTTGTGTGCAGTATGGATCCAGTTTATCACATCCAGCAAAATGCCACTGAAAGAAAAATATGTCCAGCTACTCCTGTTGACATCAAAGAGACTAGGTCGAAACCCAGTATTTGGCTGGACAATCATTGTGGCCTTGACACACCAAACCGACATCAAAGAACTAGCATCGACTAAATCTGACTGCTGTGTCGCCCCACGTCGCCTGTGTCTTGGCCAAAAGTGACACTAGAACTCACCGCACCAACTGCAGCAAATGTCCAACTAGCATGTACGTTCTGCACCTGAACGAGAGGTAATAACTCTCCATAACCAGCCGGTGGCGGTAGTCTGCATTCGTCATTAAAAAAGGAACACAGGAAGAGCTAGGACTGCAGATATGAACAAAAGCAGCCTAATAGTTGTAGGTTTGCCCGCTCTCGCTCAGATGGTTTTGTAAAACAGCTGCTTCTGATCGAGAAAGTCATCTGCTGCTTTACTTACTTCCGTTTGTCCTCTTGTGCACTGATTCGCTAAAGCTGAGCAACCAATCAGAGGGATTTCTGTCACCATTGGCCTCCGCCGCCAATTCAACATGCCCAGTCGGCTGAAAAAGCCGCAAATGAGTGCAAACAGTGCTAAACATACTGCAAAAACAAAGGCTACAGACGCTCAAACGTTGACGTGTCAGGCCTTTGTGTCTGTTCATTTTGAAAGAGCAATGGCCAATAGGGGAAAACTCCAGTACTCAACTGACCAATGGTCTAACTTCATCTCTCACTAACTCACTGAGTCAGGCACAGACTGTAGCTTTTATATGGCCGATTTGCTGCTGTCCAGCCAAATATAACCAGCGGTCACCTGAGATGTGATTCCCCACTCCTTCCTCTTTTATCAGAGACAGGAGCACAAGAGCAGCTTACTCCAGTGGACACAGTTGAACAAAAAACAGGTTACTGGGTAGAGAGCACTCTGACTCCAGCCTCTCATATCCTTTAACCAGCTGAAACCAACAAAAGTCTAACCGCACAGCATAAAACATATTTTTTTTTCCATATATTCTTGATTTGGTTAAACAGTCCTCCTGTCTCCTTAACATCACATATATCAGACTGTTAAAGCTTGTATCATTCTGGTTGTCTTTGTCCTGCAGGCATCAATCAAGGCAGCTGTTACAGAATCAACCATTTCCCAGACGACAATGACTACGACACAGACAGCTCTGAATACCTGCTGCGTAAGTGCCCCCCACTCGTCATCTTTGTCTGGCATTGTTGAAACTGTCAGCCCTTTATTTTTTAAGGGCATACAGAAAGTCCACTGACTTTCAACATCTTATTATTTGGTCCTGAGAGTAGTCTCCAAACAGACAAGACTCTTTTATACAGACATGTATAATGTAACATCAAATGTAAAGACAAAGACAAGCAAGCATTACGGTATCAGACTATGATCACAACCCGTGATATTTTTCATCTATTTAGTTTTTAGTCTTGTCTTGTTTGACATTTTTTTTTCCTTTAAAGCAATGAATTATTTGTTATATTGTGAGACAATTAAAGGCAGCTTGGCCAAACCCGACTGCAAGATGCGGTATCTATTTAGCCTGAAAAGCCTTCATTTGTTGAGTCGTATTCACCCAATGTTTAAGGGTTTTAATTGACTTTAATAGTTGAATTAAATGTTTTTTTCTTGCTATGTCATTAGCTCCAACCGCACAAAGGGTATCTTGACACTGTGGCTTTAGATATGTAGCTCACACACAAAGGAGGCTCATTATGATTTATTTTCTTAACATTTATTTAAAAGTTGTGAAAAATCCTGTACAATTTGCAATTGTGCAAACACTCCATAGTTTATTGTGTTTTATTTCGTAATTACTTTGAGTGATGATGGTGCAGGATCACCAACTTGTTTGCACTTTTCCCCTCTTTGTTTTTTTTTTTTTTTTCATTACATGAAGCATATTATAATTCTCTGTTTAGTCTGAGCCGGTGTTTGGCTGTGTGGGGACATAAAATCCTTCTTAAAACCAGTTTAAACCAATCTTCTTCTTTTTAAAAAATGTTGTAAAAACTGGTTAAAAAATTTAGATTAGTTTGATATAAAATGGGGATATTCAATCAGCAGATGACCCTCATTTTAGGCACAGCCAATTCAGTATCTGCCTAACATGCACAGAAGAACAAAGAAGTATCAGACTCAGTCCATTAGCCAGGAGGGCTTATTCAGCTTTACAGTTGAATAAGCCCACCCATCCTTGGATGCTTGTAAAATGGCACAGTGATTCATTTCTGGGGAGGTGATAGTCAGTGAGAGCTCTTGTTACATCCCACAGCTGAGCAAAGCTTTGTCACAACAAGGCCCTAAAGTATAAAAGATAATGGAGTTCTCAAAAATGGATGGGAGAAGAGGTGGAGGACTGAATAGATGAGGGCTCAACAGAGTAATGAAAATTCAAATTATTTAAAAGAGTCCATTTTTCTTTTTAAAAACTGTGCTGTTAAATGAATTTACAAGTTCCATTCTTCTTTTGCCTGTTATTAATCTATTTATGGTTATTTATGTCTATATATGTCTATAAATTGCTTAATAATTTGATCTATTGATTAATGGATTGATTTAGTCATTTGTATTCATCTTTCACAGACCGGTCTCTTTAGTGTCCAATCAAATATTGGTTAATGAATTGTGTTATAACCGTTCACAGTGAGTTAATGATCTCTCCTCCACGTCCACCCTCGTCTGTCTCTGCAGGTATAGTCCGTGCCTCCAGTGTGTTCCCCATCCTTAGTACCTGCCTGTTGATGCTCGGCGGGCTTTGTGTCGGGGTGGGCCGAGTCTACAACAAGACAAACAACGTCCTCCTCAGCGCAGGCATCCTCTTTGTAGCTGCAGGTGAGCTACAGGATTACACCGTGCTCCCAGCGAGGAGCAATCACGCGAGGGCTGGGGTTTTATAATGAAGAAAGGCAGCTTGATGTGGCACCTGTGGTCACATATTGTATTTCATCAATGGTGCAATCATAAAGATGAACTTTCTTTCCCACTGTAGAGGGTCAGGAGCTCCATACCTCACATGCAAGTGATGAGGACACGTGTCTATAATGGCAGTCATTGGTTTCATCACTGTGACTGGTAAAGTCATGGTTGATTGATCATTGTTGGCTTTTCATCACACGCCTCCATGCCGTTTTCCTGACTCTGTTGTCTTTCTGTGTCTTCATCCATCAGGTCTGAGCAACATAATCGGCATCATCGTCTACATCTCCAGTAACGCAGGAGACCCCAATGACAAACGTGACGATGACAAGAAGTACACGTATTCCTACGGCTGGTCGTTCTATTTTGGCGCCCTCTCCTTCATTGTGGCCGAAACGGTGGCCGTCCTCGCCATCAACATCTACATTGAGAGAAACAAGGAAGTTCGCTGGAGGGCACGGCGCGAGTTCATCCGTTCTCTTTCTTCCTCTTCCCCGTACTCGAGGATACCGAGCTTCCGCTACCGCCGGCGGACGTCGCACGCAAGCTCTCATTCTACAGAGGCGTCGCGGGAGAACTCGCCAGTGGTTGGTCTGAAGGGGGAGGCATCGTCCAGTGGGGCCCTGGATGAGCTGTCCATGTACGCCCTGGCGAGGGACAGCGTGACAGAGAACACGTACAGCCCTGAGCATGAGGCCGCTGAGTTCCTCCAGGTCCATAACTGTTTCCCCAATGATTTAAAGGACGGGGTGAATCGCAGGACCACACCGGTGTGAGGGGCACGTTGCAGGGCCCCGAGGTTCACCTGGAAGTGGATGTGCGCTAATCTGTTGGATTGTAGTTGTGATAGCCTGCTATCTTGGAGGCGCAGTTTTTAGAGAGACTGTCCTTTTTTTAAAGGACCAAAGGAGAAGAGAGGCCAGTCAGCTTGACAAAAGCCAATTAGTCATTTATCGGCTTCTAGAAACCATCAAAGCAGAGTAGAGTTACATTGTCTGTGCTGTAGCCGATGCGAAATTAGTGTTATCTTTCAACTGTCGAAACGCTTACATGAGCAGTGTGTGGATCCCAACCCTTGTTTGTGTAATGATCCCGAAACATTGTGGACAAAGTGAAGTGAAGCGTTGAGATGTGCCGATCAGCAGTATTCTACCTGTGAAGTATTTAACAAGGTGCTAAATGAAATGTAGGCTACTCTTCAACTTGAAAGTGTTTTGTGTGTGCAATTGCTATAAAGTGTGGACCTCTCTCCAAAGTTTGTATTGTGTCCTCATAACCAGTTTGGTCTTGCCTTATACTCAAATCATAGGTTTTAAAGAGACAACAAAGGCTCTATCTCTCAGCACTGTCTTTAGAATAATATATGGCCTTTTAAGCAAGCTCAAATTACAAACATTTTTAATGGATCCTTTTTCATGAGAGTGTGCTGGGTTGTATTGTATTGAATGTTTCCTATTTTAGCAGATTGTTCAAGTCAACTATCCAATATGAAAGGTTCTGTCTCCCTCACCTTCTCTTCCTCAATCCTATTCTTCTCTGACATTTTGTCAGTGGAACACCTCTGTTCAATGGCCCTTTTTATTCACTTCCATATCAGTCCGCCAGCCTTCCATCACAACCCTCTCTCCCAATGGACGTGACATTGTGTTTGTGCCTGTCACAAGGGAAGAACAGCTGACAAAAAGGGGGTGCCCAGAACTGTGAAAAACGGCACAGGTCAGGACTTCCTTTTGCTCTGAATGAAACCTTGGCATCCAGTGTGTTTGAGGGATAAGGATCAGAGCTAGGCTGAGAATGTTTGTCCGTCTGTCACACCCCCTGTGAGTCCATCTGGTTCCCGAACAGAGAACCCAGACGGAAGCAGAGGGAGCTGTCTGCAACTGCGTCCCCAAAGGATTTGGCTCTAATAACTAGACGTGTGTGTATGTATGTGCTGTCCTCCTGCACCTCCATCACTGCTCTTTCTTTTAGTTCTCTCAGGAAATACTGTGTTGTTGTGGCAGGTTGAACACTTTGAGGTCCTCTCCCTACTTAGTGGCAGTGCTGGGAAATGGACCGGTGATAAAGATAAACCTGGTGAAAAAAAAAAAATGCCATTACTGTATTTTGTAAATGCTGTGAGTGTTTGCTTGAGCTTGCTCCAAGAACCAGCTGGGGAGGGATTTTTTCAGTCTGAGGGCTATTCGGTTGGTTCTGGCGTGGCAAGCGAGCTCACTCAACCACAGAATAGTATTTGATTGTATTTAGTGTGTTTGATATTGATACCACTTCATATACCAGGCTGAGCTTGTGTAAAAGAAAGCCATCAGTATTCTGAGTGTAGATCTTTTATATTTCAGCTTGAGGGGGAAATTCCAAATGTGTTTGTTTGTAATGTAAAGCTGTAAAGTTGTATATAAAAGCACAATAAAAAAAATACAGAAAAGAGAAAGACAAAAAAAAAGCATTGAATGTGCAAAGACATGGACAGAAGATTCAAAGCATTATTTTACTGAACAATGTCTCAATAATAATGCCTTGATGCAATCTGGCATTGGTCACACAATTATATTTATCATTTTATATTCAGGTAAACACACACTGGTTTTGCTGTTTTATCAGTCAAAAGTTAATCTGTTGAATATTCTGTTTTGTAAGGTGAAGTACAGTAAGTACGTTTAGGAGACTACACTAGATTTTCTATTCCATGTGTATGCGGCAGCTGTACTTTATTGTATGTGCTTATATTGATTTATGCTTACAATTGTGAAATAAGCACATTCTCAGTTTGTTTTTCAAGAAATTAACTATAGATATTTGATTACGGATGTTCAGAAGGGAGGTGCTAATTGGATGGATTGCATAATAATAAAAGAAAAATCACAGGGAAAGAAACGTAGCCATTTGTTGTTGTATTTTTAAAAACATTTTCCATGCTAGTTCAAGACCAAACTTACTGGAATAACATCACTATTGTAACATGATATTGGATAGTAGAGTGCCTTTGTTTTATTTATAATATAATGCATTTGCTGCTTCTAGTGTTCCAATCAAAAAAGCATTTTTATTTAATCTGAATTTAATTAAATTGTTTTGCTCATTTTCACTTTTTAGTTACAACCCAAAACACACTGTACATAGACAAAATAAATAACTAAATCAGGGTTATACATTTATTGTTGTTGTTTGTGCTTTAGTGGTGATTTATTTTAATATGACTATACGGTCAAGCTAACATGCTGATATTTAGGGGGTCATCCCTATGTTCCCCGGGTCCTATGTTCCCCGCTAACGTTAGGGTTAGGATGAGGGTTAGGGTTAGGGTTCCCCGGGAACATAGGACCCGGGGAACATAGACACGCTCCCGTATAAAGAAAACTGGATACATTCCTGTGAAAGCTACTCAGTGGCACATGAAGCCTAAAAAGCCATTTCCCACAGCAAAGAAATTCCCCGAATAACGAGCCGGCTAACTTCTGGTTTAGCCCTCTGTTAACTTGAATGATGATAAATAATTTAATCTTGTGAATTTTCTAGACTTTAAAAATGTTATCAGACTGAACAGATCAAACTCTGATAGTGAAACGATACATTTTGCAGGGTTTTTACAGCTGCTTCTTTCACAATGTAAACTTATGGGAGTCTTTTCACGTGACGGATGCCATTGCTGTAAAGACACGGTTTGGCCACTATGTGAAATTGGCTTTACAGCCCGGCAACCTTCCTGGTCAATCAGCAGTAAACACAAAATACAGCAGAAGCTGATGGGAATGTTTGTTTTGCAGGTATTTGGTCATCATATAACTATTGGTTTGACCTGTGCACCAGATCAAAAGTTAAGGGATCAGCAAAAGTAATCCTAAAGGGGCACATGAATGTGAGACTACCACATTTAATGGCAATCCATCTGGTAGCTGTCGAGAAATTTCATCCAAAACCACAAATGTCTCATGGTGGCTCTAGAAGAAAAGTCAGGGGATCATCAGACCAACAGACTGATATTACCATGACTAAAAAATCCACACATTTGCTTATATAAAGTAATTTAATGTAATAGGACAACCCACCAACTATGTATAATAAATACATATAGACATGTATAGGATTTATGTTAAATAATTACAGCCATGAGCATTAATCTAAGTAGAGCTGATTTCCCATTGAAGACTGTTAAATACAGTGCTTCATTCAGGTTTCTATGGCTGACCTTCTCTGACTCCTGAATGCCTCTTCAGTTTGGCTGCATAAGATAAAATCACTGTCATCTCCGAATGAATGAACTGTACTTCAGCCCCAGAGTCTCCGTATTGTTTGGCAAATACATAAATCAGTCAGCATCATGCTTTTGGCAGCACTCCTAGATCAAAATGTTAAAAAGCTGCCACTCTCGCTCAGAGATGCCACCTGATAAAATGAAGCCATTTTTTAAAGCTCAACAGGCAAAGAGCTGATTCAGTCAGAGTGGGCCTTTCTTTTCTCAATGTGTGTGAATCATATAAACATACAGACTGTTGTAAAGAACAAATGCTCGGCAGAGAAACAGCGAAGGTTAAATTCTGTTTTTACTTCTCAAGGCAGAATAAAGGCGTTCTCCACATTACAAACATTTTTCTTTTGGTCCTGCTTTTCATAAGTCTCTGTTTTTGGTCATATGCAGAGATGAACCCGCAAGGAAAAGCAGAATATCACCTTTATTGCAGTTGCTGTTTGCATAGTTCAAGTACCACTAGATAAGTATATGCAGTGAGTTATTGTATGCTTCATGTGAGAGAATAATAGTACATTACCCAGTCTGACATGTGTAATTATAAGATTTCATTTTGTTAAAAGAGGAATCAGAGCTGTTTATCTAGCTGGCGAAATTATCTTTTGACAGTAATATCTGATGTTGCAGTACAGCTACATCAGCCCCTTGTAATTTCCACCTAATTTAATTTTTCTTCACTGTGCGCACATTAACTCACAATTCAGTCCCCCACCACCTCACCTCTGCGTCATGTAGATCAATGGCCAAAGCTTTTTGCCAGAACCGGTCAAATGAGAGCAGACCGTGTCGAAGAGGCGAACATGCATGTTAACTGATCCCGTTGTTTTATAGAAGAATATTAACATGACCCTTATAGAAATCACCTCAGGGCATGGGTAATCTAATTTAGCTTGAGTAATGTTGCCTGTCATTAGAAAATGAATACTGTCGGGGTCCTTCTGAAAGCTATGAAATGTATTCTGTTATGGGTAAAATTAGCCACCATTTAAGGTTGTTTTTCATCCCGGAATAAAAATTCAAACAAGGAAGCTGGCAGGCCTAATTGAAGTTAATCACTGCTGAGTTTAGACGTGTCAATCCTGATTTCATCATAAGTGATTCTGCGTGTTTCTGTCATTGCTCTAACAGTTCCAGTTCTGAGAGCTTTGGCAGTGATATTTCAGGTAAATGTGAGTGAGACATGCCTTCTTGCCAGACGCTGTCATCTGTTTACAGTGTTTGTCATCCTTGCTCAGTTGACATGAGGCGAATCCTCCAGTATCTTCAATAACATGTTACCACAGTCGTCCACACGACTGGCTGTTGCTTGAAAACTCTGCAGCTGTAAGGTGTTTGGTCTCCCTGCAGTCACTAGGGGACCATGAGCAAATGAATCAGGTCAGAGGGTCACCCAGTAAAACAGGCTGTGCTAAAAAACACTATTATTACACACTTAGAGACAAGCAGTCGCTCTCACAGCCTCAGCAAGGAACGTGTCCTCTGGGAGAAAAAGCCAGTTTTGCTGCAAATGCATCCAGGTGGAACGTGATAATGAACTCTCGCCTCCCCTCAAGCTCCACTGTGGGGTTTCTTCTTTCTTTTTTTAAGCTAGTGAGTGAGATGATTTATCTTTAATGATGAATTTCTTGGTTCGGTTAACTACTGATGGTGTTTACAGAAAGCACTTTGGTCTTCTCCCATTGCATTCATTTTCCCTTTTTTTAACACATGCATTGTGTCTTGCCTTCTCCCTTTACAGCTTGCTTTTAATGTCTTGCCTTTTAGTGTGTTAAAAAAGCTGTGTGAGCGTTGTCAGGGCTGAAAATGGGCCAGAGTCCTGTCTAATGTGGGGCACAGTGGTTTATAAAAAGCATGCCCATTTACTCAAGTATTTCATAGGGAAAAGGTTGATTGTGCCTTTGAGATGTATCAGCTTTTTACAGTTTCTTCCATCCTCAAACTTTGTGGCATCGTTTTTTGCGTAAAGCAATCAAAAGCATTTGTGTGCCGAATCAGATTATTATCTCAATATATTGTTAAAGATTAAATTAAAAGTCTTAAAATGTTGGTTTACAAAATGGAAAAACTTTAGAATCAAAGGATTCAAAGCCACTTGTTGGATTTTTTTTAAGCTTTCTCAAAATGGCTCAATTAACATATAATAAGGGACATTCAGAAGGCCCATTCATTAAACACAGGAATATTTAAAGCTCTAAAACTCTCTCTACTTTGCTGTCAATCATATTTAAACTCTATAAACTGAATGTCAAATTTTAGCGGCCCTATGTCGAGGCCCTTTTTCCTGTCTTTCTGAATCTGGATCAGCTGCTGTTATCAGGTGGGACCCTTGTCTCAAGGCTTAACCGCTGATTGGCTGAATAAGTAGATCAGCTCATTCAGACGACAACTAATAAAGGAAATCTCTCCCCCCCACCCCCAGGAGTCCCCTGGCACACCGCGCCTGAGACAAATGAGCTGAAAACGGTTCGGACTGAATAAGAATATGAAAGAGATGTGACAGAGAGTGTTTTAGATACATGATAGATCAATAACATCAGTGTTTGGCGTGGCAATGAAATATCGAACAGCAGTCAAAACTTGCCTGGAAGATTTTCTTAAATTGGCTTTGATGTTGTGGTTAGAAGTGCGCAATTCGAATGCTCACAATCAATATACTGTCTAAGCTTTAAATGAAAGTGTCTGATCTTGACCCGACTCTTGGTCAACACCAGAATGGTAAAATAATGGGTGTAATAGGTGTAAGCACTCTCCGGTACATCTTCATCTTGTAGCTGAAGGACCTCAGCTCACCAGCTAGGGAGGGAGAGGAAGAGAGGAGAGCAGTAGAAACTAGGGCACTGTTATCTGGCCCCCTTTTTTTCCAACCACCAGGCACAAGGCAGAGAAAGAGAAAGAAAGAGCTGTGGACAGGAGAGAGGAGAGGACATCAGAAGTGTAGTGAAGCTGTAGACAAGACGGGGGAACCTCTGGAGTCAACATTCAAAGGCAAAGGCAACCTTGACTGTCGTACACAATCTTTACGATTGCACACACTCTTTCGTTCTATACATAGCCACATACACACTAACATTTCACTTGTCACACACGTGCAAACCACAGGCACGCGCACGCACGCACACACATCCACAACTTGCGCGCACAGCAAGCAGCAACATGTTCGAGGAGCAGGCAACCAAGGTCAAGATCACGTCTGTGGTGATCTTGGTGGGCATGTCCTCTATGCTGGCGGCGGTGGTGACCGACCACTGGGCCGTGCTCAGCCCCCGGGTGGAGAAGCTCAACGCTACCTGCGAGGCGGCCCACTTTGGCCTCTGGAGGCTCTGCAAGAAGAGCATCTTCATTGTCGAGGAGGACCCTCAGGGCAAAGGCTGCGGCCCCATCAGCTTACCTGGAGGTATGGAGCCTCTTGATCTCACTGTTGGCAAATATCGATTTTTGTATTTCAGTTTGCAAGGCTAAACATTTATTTTTGTTGTCCAAGTGAATTTGTTGTGTGGTTACGTGAAATAGTCCTGGATGTAGTGAGGTTTTATTTTGACGGATGAAGTAAGAAAAAACGGTGTTTGGTTTCCAGTGGATTGGAACCTGTAAAGAAATATTTATACTGCAGTTCTGCTTTATGTTTCTGTGCAAACATGCAGGTCAAAGCAGAAAAAATGGACTGAAGCGCTGACTAGAGCGGTGTCTCTGCTGGCTTTCATCTACTCACTTGTATCACAGTTAGAATTAAGTCTTGCTTTTGACGTGCTTGGGTTTCAGTTATGTAGAACTGGCGTTTGTGCCCTCAAATATTGCTGCTTTGACATCTAAAAATAATTTTAAGGATCACTGCCGAAGAAGTAAAGAAGGAAGAGAGAGGGTTGGAGTCTGCCGCCTTTTCTTCCATCTGTGTGTCTGTCCCTTCCTCTCCTCATACACACAAAGGCACATACCAGCACATATGTTGGCATGTGCATATGTGTGAGCATGTAAATACACAAACACATGCATGTGTGTTTGGACTGAATGTGTAACAGTTCTGTGGCCAGCTTCTCACTGAACCATCATTATCTTCCACAGAGGAAGTCTCTGAACAGACTGCCAATTAAGCACAGTCCAACAGCTGAAGTCGAGTGCATAACGGGAGAGTATCGCTGCTATACTTCACAGTTAACATGACAAAAACATGAATCTGTTTTGTCTAGACTGATGGACTCTCATTGTAAGATGGGAATTTTAGCTCACACCAAATTCCCACTTCTCTAGATTTTTCCTTTTTTTGTGGGACTTCTGAAATCACAAGGGAAAGTGTTAGATCATCTGTCAGCATACTTTCTGACTCTCTGTATATGAAAATGTAAAATCATAAGATGCTATTTAACTTCTACATCTTTTGTTTAGTCTGGCTCACAGTGTCAGAGCTGAGGTTAATTGGCTTTCATCAAACTAGACGCAAGACTTTTTTAAAAGAATGCTGACGCCTTCGTCCAAAGCAACTTACAATAAGTTAAAAAAAAATATACAAGTATGCAGCAACTACTTCAAGTGCTACATTTAAACAATTAGACAAACAGTTTTTTGTGTGTTTGCCTTCATGGGCCAAGGTGCAGTCTGAACAGAGTTTATTAGTCTGCCAATAGAAGAATTTCTGTTGTCTTGATGTCAATGGGGAGCTTGTTCGGCCATTGTAGACCTAAGACAGCAAACAGTCTGGATTTTGTTGAGTAGTAGGTGGGCTCTCTTTGTAGTGATTGGTATACAGGATGGTCTAGGGTCTATGGTTTGACCATGTCCTGGAGGTAGGATGGGCCTGAGCCATTCGCAGCTTGGTAGGAAAGTACCAGTGACTTAAATTGGATTTGAGCAGCTACCAGCAGCTGGTGCAGGGTGCAGAGGAGTGGTGCGTGGGAGAACTTGGGTACATTGAAGACCAACTGAGCTGCTGCATTCTGGTTGAATTCAAGCAGTATTTTCTAATGCCACAGATAAACCCTAGTCTGCACAATGTTTAAATGCACCCATTTGTGCACAAACTCTTACTTAAAGGACCAGTGTGTTGGATTTAGTGGCATTTTGAGGTGAAGTTGCAGATTGCAGCCAACTGAATACCACTCGCCTTCTCAGTGCGAAGGAGGAACTACTGTGGCTGCTAAAACTTGCATAAAAGTAAAAGCCTTAACTAGAGCCACAGTTTGGTTTGTCCCTTCTGGGCTACTGTAGAAACATGGCGGTTCAACATGGTGACCTCCGTAGAAGAAGATCCGCTCCCTCTGCAAATAAAAAACTCATTCTTAGATAACGAAAACACGTTTCTTATTTTCAGGTGATTAAACACTAATGAAAACATACATATGAATATTGTATTCCCTTTCTGCCAATATATCCTCCTACATGTTACACACTGGACTAGACAAAAAAGTAGTTGGAGAAGCAGTTTGGTGCACAAAAAAGTAAAACGTGATCTTTAATTTCCAAATCTTTTTTGTAAGTTCTTTTCCCTCCTTGCATAACACAGCATTGAGTAAGTGATTCCAAAAGAATAAGTCAAAAACAATCTGTGTTGTATTTAAAAGTTTACTTCTCCAAAATAACCATGTAGCTTTAATTACAAGCTCTGTTAGAACAGAGCCCTGGGGTAAACAGTGTCTGGCTGGCCTATGGCTGCATGTGCGTGCCTTGCAGCTTAACAGAGAGATTTGACTCCGACTCCATCATTGACTTTAGCCTTCAGCTCCAGCACCTCAGGATCAGTACAGGCCTTAATGAAGTGTGGCTCCCCGCTCTAGCTCATGAGTTAGAGTACACCTGGGAGACACAGGAGGGACGAAGGAGATTGGGGGAAAAAACAGGAGCCTGCGTGGAAGGATAGAGGTAGGGATGCCGCTGTTGGTGGAGGAAAGGGGGAGCACAATTACAGTGTCCTAAGAAAGAGGGGGCTTTCAGCGAATAGAGGTGAAACTGTACTAAGACTTGTGCATTACATGTTGTAAAAAACAGAAAGAGACAGACAACAGTTGTGACAGCTGCTTGCCATAAAATATGACAACACCAAGGGCCTCCAGAACAACTTCTTGCTGTAAAATGAGACATACATACTCTGTTAAGTCCGGTAGTCCGGAGATTTCTTTTCCCTGTGGACAAGTCAATTGCCTGTGGAACGTATGAAGGACATATTGTAGCTGACAGACTTAAAACTCCATCCTGACAGCAATAGTAAAAAAGTGTCCTATCTGTGCAGAGTCCCAGCTGCTTCTGTGATACGCAACACGACCTGGAATGGATAGGAATGACTAGACAGAACCCATCTGACAGACTAAAGCTGTCGGCGGCTCACCTGTCTCACGTCCAGCAGCGAAGGGAGTTCAGCTGAGTCTGCTGCCACCTGTTAAGAGTGTGCAGCAAGAAATATCAGCTGTTTTGTCAGAGACCCCTTTGGCTACATTCCCACAACCACACCAGTGTTTCCACACTTGCATTATGAGGGAAAATGAGTCATTCTCTCATATTACCTGAAAAGGTCTAGTGATTTGGCGTGTGGCCACGCAGCTCTGCCATTTGCTCCCACGCCAAGCTCAGTAGTTTAGTTACACAAGCCCATCTCTCCCCATTTGTGGCCCTGGTGTCATCCGAAATGGATCTGTGAGCGTGGTGATGTGTCCCTATTCCTAGTCCTCTGTTCTGTCTTTTACGCCATGTAATGCAAACATGACATTGGGTGAGATGCTGTTTTCTCGCTCAGAAAGTGAGTTTCAGTGACCATCTACAGGTTTCTTCTCGATAAGTGCTTTCTCTACTGTCATCCAGTTGGCCAATCTGCCAGATAGTTTGACAGCAGAGAGGACCAGAGAGAAATACACCCAATCTCTGGCTTCAGCCATTTGCTTTCTCCTTGATAGAGTGCTATCAGTAATGGCAGCACAGTACTGAAGGCTTGGCTGGATTGCAGTTTGTGTGCAATTTCACATGTGTAATACAGTTTCACATGTGATACATTCACAGGTGTTTTTAAGGGAGTCAGTGTTTGCACTTAGCAAGCCAGCTAACCTTAACACCAGCATTAACACCTCATGACAAGGTATGTTTGAGGTGTGACTAGATTTTATACTCCAGTGTTCAACCTGCAATAACAATGGACACTCAACATCTACTTTTGCTGGTATTCTGTAGGATGCATAAGCGTGTGAAGTCTGGAGTCTAACATAGTTTTTGAGGGATCAACTTGAGTAACCTGCCACTGAGTTTGGAGCCTAACGAACATAAGCAGAGCATAATGGTGTAAAAAAAAATCCTGAGCTGATAGAGAGTGCACTATAACAGATTACATCCTTGATGAACGGTATACCCAAGCAAGCAGCGGTGATTGGACTTAATAACACAGATTTGCATTTTTCCAAACAGAGGGGGAGTTAGTCGTCAAGAGGCGTGTACACAAACACTTTTTCATATAGGTACAATTACACTGCTTTTGTGAAGGGGTTGCATAACATAACAAATGACTTTTGAAATTAGCTTCCCACAAATGACGCATTACAGCTTGAGTGCTGTAAAAGTCAAACAAACCCTTTATGGATCGCATCAAGCTGCTCAGCTGGGAAATAAAGAGCATGAATTATGCTTTTGTGTGCACATGTGTGTTCCTACACATATGTGCGCAAAGAATCCAGGGAGAGGAATTTATTACCAGAGATGTTTTAAAGCTTGCAAGTGGTCAGGCATCATGTTTTCTAGTCCTACAGCGGAAAGAAATTACCACCAAAACAACCCTCCTCCTCTTTCAGTGACACGATGCTTGGCCGGTGCCCCCAATTCATACCCTCAAAAGCACCGATGTCACCTTGAGACACCATTTTCACTATCTAGACACCCAGTCATTTTCCTTTCTAGCCTGCCAGATTCCTGCTTCAGGTGCAGAGCCAAAAACTGTGGAGGTGTGGCGCTGATTTGGCATTCAGAAAACAAGTGTAAGGTTCCAAATTTGAATGAATCACTACCTATTATGTAAATTTGAAATATATAAAATGAAATAAATATATGTTGAGAGATAACTGCTGCCACCACTTGCAGAATGATGGATGGAGGATGCAGTTTGTGGCGAGTCAAACTTAAATGTTTTGAATTGAATGATAAAGGTCAGGCCACACACACACACACACACACACACACACACACACACACAGGATCAGGCTGTGAGGACTCCTGTGCTGCTGTGTCCCAGTTATCAGAGTTCCTGGTGGAATAGCCATTCAAATACCACCACCACCACCACCCATCCTATTCACATTGACCCAGAATTAGTCGGTCATTTTGCTCGAAAAAGAACAGCCCCCCATCACCTAAAAAAAACATGAACTCCTGCAAAGGATTCAGAAGCTGTTTTTCAAGACCACCTGCGCAAGTTGTCATTATAGATAAAAACATGGAAATACCATAATAATTTAGCTAAATGTGAGTGGGTTTTGGATGCCAGTTGATGGATAAATGGGAAAATATGGACAAAGTAAAAGGAAATCCACAAGAATACTAAACCGAAAGACGAAGTTAAGGTGGAAGAGAGAGACAGGTGAAAAGCGGAGGTGGAGAGGAAGGAAAGGGTAAAGGAGAAACTGGCCGCAGAGTTTAATGGAAAGAGGCGAAACTAAAATGACAGGCGATACCTCGTTCTAATCTCTCTACCCTCCCGGAACTAAATCTCCCCATTAGCCAGACTGCAAGGTCAATTATATGCACCCAGATGTTCTCTTCCTCCATAAAGTTATGATACTAGCCAGATTTGTTTTTAACCATTTCTGGGCAGTGTAAATATGAGTGTTTAAGCTGCATACATATTGTAGTTTAACTTTGTTTGTGAAGCAACAGAGTCAACAGTACTCCACCAGTATAATGTGTCATAAAGATGGAACTTGGCTTCAAAAGTTTCCAACTTTCTGTCCTAGCATACTGAGGCAGTGACCAAAAAGTTGCAAAGTGATTAAATCAACTTGGATGAATCACACCTGTGCAACAGCTCTCCCTGTCCTTTCTTGTAACGCATATTTGTTGTCTGCTCTATAAAAGTTATTGCCATTTTGGAGGTGATCTGAATGTTGTAAAGAAATCACAGTGTAGCTGCTGTGAAATGATTGGACTTCATTTAACAAAATCACCATCACAACATAATTAGTTTAATTAACTATTCGTTGAACCTCACCTCCGAACGACAATTGTCCAATTGTAGCTTAGCAACCGTAATTAGGCATGGCAACCGTGTAATGTTGTGGATTTCCCCTCATGCTGTACATGGGGATCTATATGAAGAGAGTTTCGAGAATGGGGTATCATTTTGGCACCTTTCCAAAATCAAAAACACAGGACTAAAAGTGGAAGGGTTGCATTAAACACAACAATTTACCTGCCCAAATGTTAGCCTGCATGGCCAACAGTAGTTACCAAGCATTATTTCCAAAATTAAGGGGCATGTCAGTAGCTTATTATATTATTATGGAGGTTATGTAACCTAAAATTTCTGTTCAGGATTGGCAGACCTGCTGCCTGAGAGCAAAGGTGCTGAGAGTTTAGAGTAATAACAGCAGCTTTGTCCTGCTCTTTATACGGCTAGCACTTCAGCAACTGTTACATTTGCCAAACACACTGGTTATTCGGCATAGAAAAAGCTCTGGCAGTGTGCTCATTAAGTAGTCAATTAATCACCATGGCAACGCCAGCCCAGGCAGGCTCTAGAAGTCCCCTGTGCTACACAATAAACAAGGACCAAATCCAAGTGAAACCAGTTGTGTGGACTGTTCTGTTAACTGTTATGGAAACTATTGATACAGCAATCGTCATGTTCATGTTTGTGTCAAATTTTATCCACTGCCAACTATGGAGTTAGTTGCTTTCTCCTTTTTGTTTATTCCTTTATTACTATTTGGGCTTTCTTTCTTTGTTCCTTCAGTACATTCCACATCCTCCAATCTCTTTTTCTCGTAAAAGTTTAAAAACACGAACATTAAAGCATAACTCCTAACTACAGTGTTGCTTGTCAAAGTACGTCTTTCCATTGTACCTTCGAACCACAACAGGGTTATTAGAACAAATAACATTCAAACTGCATTTTTATTGAAAATACATTATAATACTAACTAGCTCTACACTACGATACGATACAATGCCCATCTAGAATTTTACCCCTCTAGAACACTGTGTTCTCTGAATG